AGCGTAAATTCGAGTGGTGCCCGATTTGCCATCACACTAAAGAGCGCAGTTGTCGATATATATTTGAAGATTTGCTGGATAAAAAATTCCCACCATGTTCGGATAAATTTTTGGAAGGCTTGCATTTGGATGGTTATAACAAGGAATTAAAATTGGCTTTTGAATACCAAGGATTCTAACATTATTCCGAGAATTCAATGTTCTATAGACGAGGGAGGATTGATTTGGATGAGCAGAGATGGAGGGATCAAAAAAAGCGGGAAATATGCAAAGAGCGAGATATAGATCTTATTGAAATACCGTATGGTGCTGATTTATTCCTATACATAAAACGCAAATTGCAAGAGAAAGGTTATCTACAAAATATAGATATAAATAGTGTGTCAAAATCAGATTATTCGTCGGAATAAAAAAACATAATATATATTTATAACAAAAAGATGTTATATTGTGTATTTTCCGTAAATGAGATAAACCCTCGAAAAAATACCAGGGAGATAAAGATGCACCAGCAGCCTTTTCGTATTGTGGTGGCAGGGATAGCAATTCAGGTAAGACCAATATGAATTTAAACTTGCTAACAATGCCCAAATTTTATTACATGTTTAAGAAGAAAAAGCATTCTAAGATAGGAGAACACAATGTTAAATACGATGATGTATTTCTTTTTGGACATCATTTAAATGAGCCAAAATATAAAATAGTTCGAGATTTTTATAAATATCTTGCCCAAGACAAATCAAAGCCCTATTATGAAGATGTCACATTTTCTATACTATCTCCTGATAAAATCCCAGATCCCAAAAAGTTTAATGCTAAAAGAAGTACATTAGTGATATTTGAAGATCTTTACTCTGACCCCCCAGCTATACAGAAAAAAATTATTCCATTTTTCACTCGAGGTCGTCATGAGAATATTTCCTCAATTTATGTTGCTCAAAAATTCCACAAAATCCCAATAGATATTCGTGAAAATGCCACTCACATTGTTCTCTTTAATGGTGGAGGCTCTATTCGAAAACTTGCAGATATTATAAGTCCTTACACTGATGTAGATCCGCGAAAAGCTTCAAAAATTATTGACGGTTATTTGAGGCAGAAAGAGTTTATAGTTATAGATCTAAATAAACCTAGATCTAAGTCTTTCTCACTTCGATGGGACACCCCTCTTGATCTAGAAAAGGAGATCGAGGGATTAAAAGATAATAAACATTCTGCCTAACCAGGGTGATATTTCAAAAGTTATAATACTTTAAAATCAGATAAAATAAGGCATAACAATCGAATAATTATTTTTTCAGTTATTTATTAATACAACAATATAAGTACATCCTACTCGCCACTTCTATTAAGAAGCTGTTCGTATTCAGCCATGATTGGAATTGGGGTGGATAATTTTAACATCTTATTCGCTACTATTCTCCAATGAAATAGCTATCGATATCCAGCCTGATTGAGGTTGAAGTAGATGTTGAAAAATAAATAAATTCTGTAGTTTATTTGTACCAAGGAGATTTTTGTGCTGGGTAAAATAGGTTGATATGAAAAATCAAAGTAAAAAATATTACCAGCCCTTAGGAATAACGAAATAAAGTCTAAAGTACTAGCCCTCAGGAATACTTTAGGTTGTTTTATTTTAAATAGATATATATATGAATAAGTTATATAATTAATAAATCGAATAAATAGATTAAATCAAATAAAT